AAACAATTCCGCTGTTGAAAACTGAAAAATGGGTGTAATTTGCGTTCAGAAAGTGATGTTAGGGTCACAGCAATTTCCCGGGCCGTTATTTATTTTTACTTTAAAGTCTTTAGGGAAGGTTTGCTTATATACTCGGGAACCTTCCAATGCCAGGGCACCAGCAATCCCGCTTGCCTTCAAAGCGGGGGGAAGGGGGGTGGGGAACAATTACTGAGTGACGCTAATGTGGGGAAACTGAAAAGAAATGTCGATTGTTTTTATTGTAACAGAAGGAGTGTGCAAACAGAAAAACCAACCCCGGGTGATCGGAAACAGGCAGGCGGAGAATTAAAAGCGGGTTTCAGGCAGCAACAAGCCCCTCCCCTGCCCTCGGAAGGAGAAAGCGGGTGAGGAGCGCTCGCAGCCCCGGGGCGGATCCCACGGCCAGCGGCGGGATTTCCGCGCTCCCGCAGGACCCCGCGGGCTGCTGCCCTCTTGGGGAAAGGGTCTCAACCGTGAGCACCAGCAGCCGGAAGGCAGCGAGAACGCGGGGAGGCCTTAGAGACTTGTGGAGAATTTTCCAGGTTCCTCTTGGGGGCCCCAGCGGCCTCTACTTGGGCTGGTGCGTCCGGATGCGTCCGCAGCCCGGCGAAGTACAGGCTGGCAGGTCAGTGCCTGGACACCCCCTCCCCTCTTCACCACCACCACCACCACCCTGGCCTGGCTGAGGCTGAGCGCCCGGGCAGGCGGTCTCTCCCACACCCCGTGGCTCTTCCCTCTAGCCGTCGCCTCCGACCCCGCCCGCGGCCCCAGGCGCAGATGGGGTCCAGCCCGCGGCCCAGGGTGGTCCCTCCCTCTCCTTAGGCACCGGGTGCGCTTCCGGCTGCCACGTGCGGCAGCAGACGCTGGGAGGTCCAGTGGGCGGAGGGGCGGCCGCTGACCCTACCAGGCCCTAACGTAGCATCGGGCCGATCCGGGTTGGAACCCGCGGCCCGGGCGTTGGCAGGGCAGTTTGGCGAGGACCGGAGAAGTTCAGCCTCTATCTCTCTACGAGGTGTGCAACCCTCCACCTACTCTGGAAGAGGCGCTCCCGTGGGGGGACCGGATCGGAGGTCTTGCCTCTACCGTATTCTCCCTCGGACGACTGGAAGAAGTAACTGTGTTTTGAAAACCCATCCCCGAGCTCAGACTCTGGCTACTGTTGATCCCCGAAGCTACCCCCTGGCAGGGCGAGAGGCGGCCGTCGTCGCCTGAGCCTTTCTTTTCGGTCCTGTCTTTTCCCGACAGAGGGGCAAGTTGGAGGAATCTTCTCCTTAACATTCTCCTCGGCAACTCTAGTATCCCTAAAAGCGCTTGGTAATAGCAGGACCCCTCTCCCGCGCATACACACGCCCCTGTCAACCCACCCTCGCGCTCCGGTCCTATCCGCGGTCGTCGCTAACCTGCAGGACCGGGAAGAGGCGCGAGGCGGAGCCGCCAGGGACGTCGATCCGGGTTGGAGAGCCGGGAGGTCCCCACTCCCCGCACAGCCTTTGGCGCCTGGGTCCGGGCGCGGTCTGCCAGGGCCACGCGGGGGCGGCCTCGGAAGGAGCCAGAGTTCAGTTCCTTCCCCGCATCTCTTCCCAGACACCGCTGGTGCCGGGAGGGGCACGCCGCAGGTGATCGTCCGAAGCACTGGGACCGCTGACAGATTTATTAAGATTTTACGGCTTCTGGCCGGGACCCGCAAGGGCAGGGAAGGAGTCCAGCCAAAGGGGCGCGCTAAGTTCCCCAGCCGCGCGCCGGGACCCGACCGTCTCTGAACTCCCCGGGCTCCGACTCCCCTCGGGCCAGTGCCCAGGTCTGTCCCCGCCAGTGTCCAGCGTACGGAGTCTCGCCACCCCTTGAAGCCCCCACCTTCACACGCTCCCGTCCAGCCAGCTTCCAGTCTCCCACTGAGTAAATATTTATCCGGAGGACGGGTCGCTCCTCCGAGGAGATCTAGACAGTGCCCTGGGAAGGGCTTTTGGCTTCTTCCCGGCCTGTGTCAGCTGCAGGCCTTACTTGTGTTTTGGTCTTAAATTTCTTTAGCCGAAATCCTTCCGATCTCTGTGTGATCTCCCGGGTTCAGAGGGGGCAGTAACCAGGGGGCGCTGACCTCAACTGACCCTTGCTTTTTCTCTGCATCCCTACGCCCACCATCAGCCGAGGCTTACTGGCCCTTACCGTTTCTCTTTCTCCCCCCGCCCCACACCACCAAGCCCTCTTTCCCGCTTTAGGTCGCTGTGTCTCGTCGGGTCTCTGGCTACCTGGCCACAGTGCTCAGTGTGCGGCCTGGCAGGGGGTTGGTGGGGGGCAGAGGGGGGAGTCTGCATCAGCCCCTTCATCTAGGCTTGGGCGCCTCTGTCTGTCTCCTGATGCTTCGACTCCTGTTGCCCCCGGAGCCCCGGCCTCAGGTTGCCGCTGATAATTACTGCTCCGGAACAAAATCCTTCTCTCGCTCTCGGGAATGCACTGAGCTGAGAGGGCCGAAGATCCAAAGTCGCCAGCGTTAAAGGGCCTGCTGGGTCGAAAGAGACGCGAGCAGGGGGCCGAGACCGCGCGCGACCACAGGTGGCAATGGAGAGGCAGCAGCAAAGCTGTCGGTGTGGAGTCAGTCGCTCAGTCCTGTCCGACTCTTTGCGGCTCCATGGACTGTAGCCCGCCAGGCTCCTCTGTCCGGAGACTTCTCCAGCAAGAATACTGGAGTGGGTTGCCATTTTCTTCTCCACGGGATCTTCCTGACCCAGGGATCGAACCCAGGTCCCTCGCACTGTGGGCAGATTCTTCATCGTCTGAGCCACCAGGGAAGCCCAAACCGGTTGGAGAGTCCGGGGAAATAGGAGGAAACTGAGGGGTTTGGGGGCGAAGGAGAGGGTGTAGTGTGTTCGGTCCTCCTAGCCAGAGCGCCAAACAATACGAGTCTCTGGATCACTCCAGGCTGGTGCTGCAGAACTCCTAAAGCCCTCACAGAGCGTAAAGAAGCACACCGCTGCACCAGATCTTGGCCAATTAGAAGGCGATCGGCCTTTATCAACATCACAGCCCAGCAAAGTCCGAGAAGCCCTCACTGGACAGGGCGTAGAGTCCGCGCAGGGTCGCTTACTCAGTATGTGTTCGTGAGAGGGAAGAGGGGTCAGGGGAACTCTTGATCAAGATGCCCAGCACATTCATTCCTTCGCACAAGCCTAAGGCAAAATCGTAGGCTCCTCAGATGTCGCAGACTCAAACTGCCCCAACAGTGATCTGCTGCTTTTCAAAGTTGGGATACACAAAGGCCCTCCGAGTTGTAGAACACCTGCATTACATGTAGATGCCACGTAACAGGTATTGGGGGCGCAGACCCTGGTGAAATCGCTGTCAAGTCAAACTTGGAGATTTTAAACAACTGAAACAGAAACAACAACCGCAAAGGCAGACAAGTTCAAGTATGTCTAGTTGTGGGACTTTCCACAAGAAGCCGGCTGTAAAGAATTAAGGATGTTTGACTTCACTGTTCCTTTATCTTTCAAATCCTTCATACCTGTACATTTCAACTTAGAGTGCACCCCTGCCATGGAAGTGTGAGGATCTGGAGATTACTGCTCATTTCAAAAAGCACAGCTGATCATGAGTTTTTCCTGGGCTCTTGTCACTTACCAGCCTAGACTGGGGCCCAGTCAGCTTTCCTATGTGTAAACCAGAGCCCACCCCTCAGGACTGAAACTTTTGCGCACCAGAAGGAGGTAACGTTATGACTGTCAAGAGGCAGTGTCAATAGCCTCGACCCTGAAGCAGTGCAAACTCCCAGGTTTATTAAAAATGTTTCCCTTCTTGCTTTTAATTTTGATTTGCATTCTCCATAACCCATACTCAAAATGTGAATAACTTTGACCGCTAAAAAGACTACTGTACACTTTACATTAGAGTTAGCATGACTGAAAAGGAAAATTAGGAAGGTAGGCTTAACTGCATGGGCTCTGGCAGCTAGTGAGAAGATGTGGGACTCACATACATGTGCAGGTTCGGTGGTCACATTCTTAGGAACGAGTCTTTCATGTTTAAACATAAGCCGTTTGCAGTGGTTCACTGGTGGGGGAAACCCGGCGAACGTCGTTGGCAGCAAGGGCCAGCGAACCAGCAACATGACTGAGCTCTCCAGCGCACTGGGTTCCTCAGAGAGTGCCCCATGCCTGTCAGTGGTTGAAGTTGGCTTTGCGCTCGCTGTAGTCGCGTGTAATTACATTCGTGCTTGGAGCCTAAGCTAATGTTTGACCCCGCGATCCTGGATCTCTAGAGACTGTTGTGGGGAGTTAGTCACGAGGCGAGGAGAGCGGTGTCCACCTGGAGGTAACAGTGGCCTCCATCTCTGGCTCCTGCTCGTGTTCAGTCGCCCAATTTCGTATCCGACTCTTTGCGACCCTTTGGCTAGGTCTCCCCTATTCTCCTCGTCTCTCCGATGGGCCTACCTTCTCATACCTGCGCTCTGGTCTCTCGGCGTTGGATGTAGTGCAGTAAGATCCGCTGGTAACAGCCATCCTCTCTTGACAACCTCTTGGAGCTTGCATGACCGGCTATTCTAAGAACCCTTGCCATGACCACCATCAAAGACCGTGGCGCTCACCTCCCACCTAGAGTTAACTTAAATTCTGAGATGTCTGCTTTCCCCCCAAAGAGGTCTTCTCGGCCCCTTCTCCCTTCGGGTCTCTCGAATTCAGACCAAAAGCTTTAGTTTGCTTATTCAGCATTTTTAAGAGCCTGATTTTGCTGTTTGCGCTGCCCCTGGGAAGGTGTCAAACACCTCTTTTCATTGTATTTAGTCACCCAGGTGCAGTGCGAGATTGAAAGAGACAGCGGAAGAACTTTCCCGGACTGTGCTGTCGCTCAACGGGCCAAACCAATCATCACGCAGTTTGCCTCCGAGCCCTCCTCTTTGGGGGCGTGCCCCTAGTGAGTGATAGACGGAGCCGCCCGGCCCCGCTCAGGCCAGCCCACGTTGCTGCTTAGATTGAAATGCAGAACTCAAGCCTCTTTCAGCGGGGCACAGACTTCCTTTTACTCCTTCCTTTTGCACTCTCGCCGCCTCCTCCCGGGGAGAAGCGGAGGCACCGGCAGCCCGGGGCAGCAGCACGACGGGCCACTAAGGCCACGCGAAGAGTTTCTTTCTGGGAGTGCGGAACTAGGGCCCGGTTGGTGTACTGCTCGGAGCAATGGGTGAGTGGCGGCGGGGTACGCTGTCAGAGCCGGGAAGGGAGGGAGGGCGCGAGCGGGCGAGGGAGGGAGGGCGCGCTAGGGCGCGCACCACTGAGCGCTCACACTCTTCTTATTGACTTTGCTCGTGTTCCTACAAGTTGTAGGAACACGCTAAGGGTCAGCGGCTCGCAGCAGTTCAGTCTGAACGCTGGCTACTGGGCTGCTGATATCGATGCCATTTTCTGATTTCAAGACTAGGGAGCGGTGGCATCAGGAAGCCCCGCGCCCCGGTGGCGGACCAAATTTTGTTTCGCGTACACAGGGTAAAAAAGCCAACCAGAAAAAAAAAAAAAAAAAAAAGGACTAGACTTTGTCTAATTGCGCAGGTCCCTAGGCGGGGCGCTGGGGATCAAGGGGGAGCGGCCCAAGGACATTAGCGCCGAGTGGGCGAGAAGGAACCGCTTTGCAGGCGTCAAGACCGACTTCCCCGCCTGCTTCGGAGGCTTCTGAACACTCGGAGAGGCCCTGCGTCTCACCACTTTATTTGCTTGTATCGGCCGCAGGCACTGCCGGAATGAGGGAGGAGGGTCTGACTCAACCGCGGTGATTTGAGGCCGTTCCTCAAGGCTCGGGGACCGTATGGTTTGGTGAAAGCCCGGGTCCTTAGTCCCAGGCGGGTGCCTCCGCCTTGCCCCCTGACGCGCGCGGAGGCCGAGTGGCAAGCGGTTGTCCCAAACTGTGGGTGCGCGTCCCCGCGCGCCGTGTGTTCGTTTTGCAGAGCCAGCCTTTGGGGAGGTAAACCAGTTGGGAGGAGTATTCGTGAACGGGAGGCCGCTGCCCAACGCCATCCGGCTTCGCATAGTGGAGCTGGCCCAACTGGGCATCCGACCGTGTGACATCAGCCGCCAGCTAAGGGTCTCGCACGGCTGCGTCAGCAAGATCCTGGCGCGCTACAATGAGACAGGCTCGATCTTGCCAGGAGCCATTGGGGGCAGCAAGCCTCGGGTCACCACCCCCACCGTAGTGAAGCACATCCGGACCTACAAGCAAAGAGACCCCGGCATCTTCGCCTGGGAGATCCGGGACCGCCTGCTGGCGGATGGCGTGTGTGACAAGTACAACGTGCCTTCGGTGAGCTCCATCAGCCGCATCCTGCGCAACAAGATCGGCAACTTGGCCCAACAGGGCCATTACGACTCCTACAAGCAGCACCAACCGGCGCCGCAGCCGGCGCTGCCCTATAACCACATCTACTCGTACCCCAGCCCCATCACGGCGGCCGCCGCTAAGGTGCCCACGCCGCCGGGGGTGCCCGCCATCCCCGGCTCAGTGGCCATGCCGCGCACCTGGCCCTCCTCGCACTCCGTCACCGACATCCTGGGCATTCGCTCTATCACCGACCAAGGTAAGGACACGGGGGGCCGGATATGGGATTGTGCAGAGCTTCCCTCCGCACCCTCTCTGGGGTTGCCGCATCTGCGCCTCCAGGGGCCCGCGTCTGTCCCACCACCTGAGACTTTTTACTTTGGGAAACGTCAGGAGTCCTCCCAGGGGGTGTCCTGATCTCATTAACGTGAAATTCATGCCCTTCGTTTCCTTGCCACACACAGTCTACTGCCTCATCTCAAACTACCAGACTCCTAACATCCCCCATCCCCAACACATGGTTCGCATTTTCCACCCTCCCCCGCCTCTTGCGCCGCGGCAGCCTCGGACCAGCCCGCTCACTTGGAGAGCGCGGCCGGGGCCGGACTTGGGGCGCAGCCCGAGAGGCCCGAGCGGGCGAGGAGCTGCCGGCTGCAGAGACGACTTCGGGCCGCTTGTTTGGGGAGTCGGGGACTCTGTAGAAATTGCAGTATTCTTCTTGCATTCTGGCAATCAGACCAAATTTGCTCAGGCAGGAAGTTCAAATGTCACCTAATTGGTTTCATTCTTATGCTTCACTTCATTTTCCTCGGAAACGGAGGTCCAGAAGTTACTACTAGTAACTTGCATGTTAGAGCACTGCTCATTCTGGGACTAATTTTCTGCTTTATTTCTCTCTTTCTCCCGCTCTCCTCCTCCCCGCCACCGGACACTTTTTACCTTAACAGATTTCAGCACATAGGTATCCTAGGAAGTGGCGCCAACCGCCGCTATAATGAAGGGAAAATGCACGGCGATTCCACGCTGTCCTCCCTCCTGTTCCTTCCCGTTTCCCCCGCGCCTGCCGCTTTCCTTTAGGGTCCCCCAGTCCCAGGGAATCCTAGTGGACATCCCGTCCCTGCACGTTTTCAGTGGTGCCACCCCACCGTTCCTTTCCTTTCTCACCCTTGACGTTGCGTGTTGCGAGTGTCTTATTCTGCTGCTAAGGACGATTCCCCGCGCCCTTATGCTCAGTCGGGCCTCCGCAGGAGACCCGAGTTTGTTTTCTTTTACTGCGTTGTTAAAACAGAATATAACAAAACGTAAAACCGCGTTAACTTCTTTCTCAGTATGGAGAAAACAAAGTCAAAAATGCCCTAGACGCAGAATTTAAATAATACAGATATAAAGAGCCTACCTTCTTAATTTCTCAGCCAAAACTTTAAAAAGAGCTGGGGGGGGGGATTAAATAGGAAAAGGGGAAATAGTTCATTTAATTATTTCCTGCCTTTCTCGGTTGCCACCACATTGGCACAATTATCTTTTTAAATAATTAAAGCATAGCCTTGCTTTCTCATCTTCTTGTTTTCTGACTGTGATTTTATAGGATCCTTCTAAGGGCCCAGTTTTGTCTTATTTGGAGCTGGCTGGAGCTTTAGTTGGAGAGAGTTTGCCCTTGATTTATAGGATAAACTGACCTCACTGACATTTAAAGGAAGCCCCTGTTCATGGGAAAGTGTGAGATCAGCAGAAATGGGGGCGCGCAGGGGGATCTCAATTTCTTAAGATAACTTCAGGCTTGTGCCCACCGATTGCCTTTTGTCTGGGAAGGCAAGGAAAGACTGGCAGTTCTGGGCCAAAATACTATTTCCTGGTGCAAATTGGAACACAATCTTAATTCTTTGGAGAGGGGGAGGTATAGTGAAAAAAGACTGACAGAGTTGAAAAGAAAACCTTTCTTCCCTAGGGAACCTACAATCAGGCCAAATGTCAGTCGGAAAAGTATTAGATTATGGAGAGAAGCAACTCTTCATTCTACATATTGTTGATTCTGGGTGCCAGCTTTAAACAACCTGTTTTCTGACAAATCTGTGAATATAAAATGATTATTTCTACAAATGATCTTTCCTCAAAATGATTGCCCTGCTTTTGAAGCACAGTATCAGATGGAAGTGTTTAAGATCGTTGTAGTAGCTTTGTCAAACTTCAGTCCTCCACCCATGGGTCCCAACACAAACTGCTCCTCGTTTTCAAATATCTTCTCTTTAAAATTGTACTTGCTCACTTAAAGATGCAGATGATTCAACATGCACACCTCTTGGTATTGTGGTAATCGGTTTACATCATATAATTTTCTTTGCGTCTCTATAAAGAGCATAAAGGATAGTTGACAGCTTTACCTCTTGTCCAAAACACTTAATTCCACTTTAATTTTCCTAACCTTTTGTTTCACTGAAAAAGTAAACCTATGACCTTACCTCTGACACTGGTGGCACTTACAGTGGTAATTGTACTATTTGTTTTTTGAGTCATATGCACATAATCTCAGTATTTAATGTATAGAGATAGAGCACGAAGGGCAGTCACACACAAGGGAGGCACACACCTATGCACTTACGCTCTGCATGTATATTGTGGGCATCCTTTAGTCATTTGTTTGCAAAAGACTTTACGGGTCTTTTGTTCCATCTGTTGACTTAAGTACTAGATCCCCACAGCACAGTGAGCACTTTCTGGATGTTTCTGAGCGCCAGAACAGGCATAGTTAGGCCAGCGCGACCCTCTCTCCCGTTTCAGGCCGCACCAGTCTCAGATTTTTGTCAACCCCCAGTCGACCCTGGGTTAGGACTGGGGAGAATGGCGCGTCCAGTTTCACGCGTTCTTTCCCCGATTTGAGAAAATTCGAGGGAAAACTTTGATTCTTTCCACTCGTTTCCCCGGGGGAGCGAGGACGGGAGGAGGTAATCAAAGGCCGGTTAAAAAAAAAAAAAAGTCTTCCCGCGGGCGTGGGGCAGAGAGCCGTGAGAGGCCTACTCCGAGGCGTCACCTGGGCCGGGCCCCTGGCTGCCGGCTGGAGAGGCGGGCCCCGTGCCCCTGGGAGGCGGAGGGCAGGGGGCCGCCCGAGGTCGCGGCCCCGGCGCTCGCGGGTCGCAGGTTCCGGGCGGGTCTCAGGAGGGGGCGCGCGGTCGGCCGTCCAGCCTGACGCCCTCTCTTCCTCCCCCCAGGAGTGAGCGACAGCTCCCCCTACCACAGCCCCAAGGTGGAGGAGTGGAGCAGCCTGGGCCGCAGCAACTTCCCCGCCGCCGCCCCGCACGCGGTCAACGGGCTGGAGAAGGGGGCCTTGGAGCAGGAAGCCAAGTACGCGCAGGTGAGGAGGCGGGGGCCTCGCCGGGTGGGCCGCGGGACTTTGGGCGATGGAGGTCCGGGCCCTTCTCGGAGCCTCGACCGAGGAGAAGCCCCAGCCGCCTCCCAGTGGCGGCCACGAGCCCCAGGCCAGGGCGGCGGGGGTGGGACGACGCGCGAGGGCGGGGTGAGGCCTCGACCCCTCAGCCGGGGGCCGGGGCGGCGGCCCTGGAAGCGCCTTGGGGCCTGTTGGCCAAACGAGTTGCGCCCGAAGCCCTCTCCGCGGCCCGAGTCGGGGCAGCACTCACCGGGGAAGGCGTCTTCGAGGGGCCAGGCGGGCGGCCGTGGGTTCCCAGCTGCGCGCGCCGCGAGCGGCCTGCACGCCCCAGGGCGCGGCGCCGCGGCTACTCCCGCACGGACGGCCCGCGGCTCCCCGGGCACAGGCGCGCGTGGCGGGCCCCGCGACGGCGAGTAGAGGGCAGCCAGAGCAACTTCAGACAGTTCCCGCGCCCCGATTAAAGGTCACGTCGTCATCTCCCCAGGGAGGTTAGTGAGAAAACCTCAAATTATACGGACTGGCTGTCGACCGTTTAATTTTTCTTTCCCTCTGTCCCTCCCTCGACTCCAAAAGAAAACTTAAAACACCCCGTGTTGTTGATTTTTTTCTTTTCCTTGAGAAAAGCTAAACAACCATAACAACAAAAGCCCCAGAGTTTTGAATCTAAATTCATCACCACGGTGGAGTCAGGAGTTCAAAGCTCTCAAAAAACCAAGCGACAACAAAGCCGGACCTTCTTTGAACAGACCTGTGTAGGTTTGCAAATTTATTCATGCCAAACTCCTATTCCAGAGCCTCAAAATACCCAGTTTTCTTTTATTATTTTGAAATCGTAAAACTTTCGATGTTTTCATATCTGTAAAAAATCAGTTTTTTTCCGCTCAATGGAACTTGGAACTTTTATTCACTTGGGGGAAAAAAAAATCCTAGTCTTTATTTTCTCTAACAAACACCATTTCCACTTTGTCTTCCCTCCTTTATTTTGTTAAAACAGAATCCCGTATATATTAGTAGCTCTCCCATGACAAATATCACAGAAAATAGCAGCAAGGAAGGAGGGTCCCTTTCCTGAGTCTCTATTTGTTAAGCATGCGAACGAGAAATTATAAGAAAGTTTGTCACTACCTTCTTCTGCAAAAGAGCAGGTAGTACAGAAGAGGCATTATGATCAATAGCACCATTGCCACTTAAGCAAGTTATTTAACCTTTTAGGGTCTCTCTTTTTTCATCTATAAAACAGGGAGATAATAGGCCCAACCTCAAGGAGTGTGAAATTTCAATGTGATAATACAATATGGGGCACATAGTAAGTATTCATTATATATTGCCGATGGATAGAAATGGTGCTTAGAGATTGACTTAAAAACAAGTAGTTTTAAATTTTGTCAGAATATATTTTGATCAGGGAGTTCATAGTCAAAGTGTCAAGGTATTTTGTTACAAACAGTAGAGTGTCTATAAAGCACCTGGCGTATAGAGTAGTAAGCATTTAATAGGTGCTCAGTAATGTTGATTAGGTCATTTCCTGAAATAACATTGTGAAGTATAGAGCTGAAAAAAAAGTCTCCCACATAGAGTGGATGAGCCTAGTTTATAAATAAAGCAGTGTCATAATACAAGAATCTTTAGAATTACTTTCATTTTTACTCTCTTGAATTCTAGACCTAGTGTTTAATCTTGTTTAGAAGTGGTTAGTTAATACACACACTTCAAAATGAAACCAATCAATTTAAAATAAAAATAGAACAGTGTGAAGTAATCTACTTTGTATTTTCTGAACATTAAAAATCCATTACATTTTATGCAGTGACTATCAAATCATTAAATTATCAATTTATAAGAATGAATAATTTAAACAAGTGGCCAATAAGTATTGTTCTAAATGCTTGAGAAAAAATTAAAAATTTCTGAAGAAAAAGACATTTGTATCAAACTTTCATTTGGAAAGTTCTTAATGGCAATCTGCTAACCTTCTGCATTGTCATGTTGTAAGATAATATAAATGATGTAAAATTTCAAAACTTGAAAAATTTCCATGCATAATTAAGTCAGCAGCTACTCTATTATAGCTGTCAAAATAGTGCTTAATGCTGAAGGTGTGCTAAGTAGACACATATACTTAGAATGTGTCATTTTGTGAGCAGTTTTGGAGTTTAGACATTAATTTCCTTGAGGGTAAAGTTATACATTAAAATTTGCTCATCAACAGACTTCCAAATATAAGGTGTGTTGTGTGTGTGTGTATTCCATCTATGTATATGCATTTCTCCTACAAATATTTGAAGGGTAATTTTATTTTTCAAGGTTATTTTTCAAAATGTTATCAGCATATGTATGTTTCTACAATCCTAGTGTAAACTTGGATAACACTTTTCTCTGTGTTATGAACAAAAGTTGAAAGTCTTTGACAAAAAAAAACTTCTCAAGATTTTTGCCCATAATACTTTTATGGTATTTATGGTTGTTATTAAATAGCACACTATTATATGAGCTCAGTTTCATTGTAGTTAATAAAGGAGGAAATTGAGAGTTCAGGATCATAGGACTTAGAGCATAATCCTTTGTCAGAATATACCTGTAAAATTACCAACAATTGATCATAGGTTCTATTGATTACTGTAATCTAGAGTTTCTGTTTTCAGCTTAAACTGCAAAGAAAGTTGCCCGATTGCTAGTAATTAGAACCTTATGCACACATCTATCTTGTTTTAAAAACATTAGAATATTCAAACTTGTACACATTACTCTTATAACTGCAATTGATATTTTATAGTGCCATTCAGAAATCCTTATTGTCTGTCTTTGAGAATAGAAGAAAAAGGATATTTATTTTTACTTTTTTCACCTACATTTAATGTTGGGCTCGAACTCTTTAATCTCATCTAACTCTCAATGACAATAATGTTTCTCTGGGTCCTAATGGCTGGCTCTTTTCTGTTGAAAATATAAAACTCTCTGAATGCAACTGCATGGCAAAAAAAACCAAACAAACAAAACATATAGAGAAACATGCGGTTGGAATATACCCTTTTATATGGTACTTAGTGAATTACTTACCTCATTCTTTTTTTAAAGAGTTCATAAACAGTTGTATAGGTGTTGAAACTTTCTTTGTATTATTAGGCATACTTTCTCAAGGAAAAAAAAAAGAATATCTGGTACTCTGATTCAAGTAATCTGAATGGTAGATTTATAAGCTTTGAGTATCTTTATTTTGGGGTAGTGAAATCAACTTAGACAGCAAGTTTAATATAAAATTAGCTATAAATTGAGATATCAGGAATGGAGAATAATCTATAAATAACTTAAGAAAAAGTTCAGAGTTAAATGAGATGTGAAAAGAGTTTAATTTGGAGACATAAATTAATCTGAAATTCTTATGAATCATTCATTTGTACATTATATTTAAAATACAGTATTTCCTGAGTATAATTTTCTAGTGCATTATTTAACAGACTGACTGTCCTTGCAGACATACTGTTCTTGTGAAAATATAAATGAAGTTGCCCTAGATTTTTCTTCATGTTAAGTATATTTTGTGCTAAATAATTCATAATTTTATAGAGAATCAATTTCAGGCAAATGTTAATAGTCTTTGAAACTCATATTACCTATTATGAAAAATATTCTTTGACCTGGCTAGCTTTTAACTATGTTTTAAAATTAGTAACTATGTATTGGTAAAACATATCATATGAAATACCAAAAAAAGATATTTAAATTTTTTTCAAGGCTACATCAATTTTATTAACATTTTGGAAACATAAGATTTAGAAAAACATTTAAAATAGCAGCTTTCCATTACCTAGAGACAATTAGATCTGCAATGTGATAACTAAATATAATTAAGATCCTTTTGGATGAATGTTGAAATCATATTTACAACTGTCATTTCGTTTTGTCAGATTTATTTTACTAGGTTATTGCATGATGAATTAAGAAGGGTAGAACAGCAGCCAGAAAAATGACTTCACAAAAAAAAAAAAGAGAGAATCTTGTTTATTTTCAGATCTGAAGCTTTTTCTTGCTTATGATACCTAGGTGGAAGTTCTAGGTGAAGCACAGCTGTTTGTGGCTGAACATACTTTATTATAGAGCCAGGGTAAACTCATTTTATCATAAGGGAAGGACCAGGTTGGGCTGATGAGTGGATGAAAGATTGTGGATTGAAGACTTGGCACTACTATTTGCATTTTTGCAAGAAAGAAAATGTTGAGTAGACAACTCCCAGAATTTGAGGAATTGTCTGTAACCTCTAGATGCCAGACAGTTGTCATACCAGTTTTTTTTTCATGGTCATGAGTGTTTGGAAACTAATGCATTTCCTTTTTCTCTGGGGGCAGTGGTGGGGGGGAGGAGAATAAATGCAATGACCATAAATTAAATAATGAAATAGCTAGGTTACAACTTTTATTTACCTTTTCAACAGCTTTACTCATTTTGCTTACTAAAAATGTAATGCTTATTCTGTGATAAAGGGTGCTCGGTTTTTTTGTTTTGTTTTTTCTTGTTTTTAAAAAGCAAGAGCATCACACGTTTTGCTTTCAAAAGGCTGCACTAACTTAAGTATACAAGTGATTATGAAACACCTATAATGTGTCCCATTTTGTGAGGACATGAGATGATTAAAGGCAAGACCCTGTCCTCAGACTGTTTATAGTCTAACTCTCTGCCAATACAGCTTCTCAACATAGTCATTTGAAAATATTTTTAAAAACTGGCAAATCTGTGTAACATTTTAGAACAAATGCAATGAAAAGTCATACTTTCATTCATTCTTGTGATAACTGTAACTAGACTACGTTGCATCTTAACATATTTTTTCCCTGAACTCTTTTGTTTAATGTCAGTGGGATAAAAGGTATCTTTTTCTGGAAACATTCAACAAAACAAGAAACTTACTTTTTCCAGGGTATACAGTTTGGTCTATTTTACTTTGTATTAGTAAATCTCATTCTCAAAATTAGGTTGAAGATAGTTTGCCTTAGGGAGGACCCTTGTACAGTTCTTTAGAGGAGAGGATTCTCGTGGCTTCCATGGAAGATCCACATGATCCACATGAAGAAGGGGTTGATAGATTGAGGTCTTATTTATGGAATCTTTAGGTAAAGTCATTTTCAGAAATGAGATTTCCATTACATGCCCATTGCTGGGGTTTCATTTGGAAAATTTGTTTACTCTTCCCTGGGGATTCCATATGTTGGTCGATTTATAAATCATATTTACAATCCAATTAAATAGAGTAATTTAGCATGTTTGCTCCCACGATATTTATGGTGTACATTTGGTAGTCTCTACTCAGCCTAACTAGCTTTTCAGATTAATTACATGCCCTTCACTGAAAACATTAAACAGATTTGGGAAGTTTAAGTCATGTGCTCTTTTACTGGAAAGAATAAACAAACATCAGTGCTACCTGTAGTTGTTTTCCTTTATGGTGGAAAATTTTACTCTTTCAATGATTGCTTCATAAATAACAATTACTTTACCTGGTAGAGATTTATATCTTTTACTAATGTCATGTTTCAAAATTAATAGTGAGAAAATTGATGTGTTTATTGGGTCACTAGAATGAATGGTGACGGTGGCAGGTACATTTTATTTAAAGCATATTTGTTCTCTCATCTTGATTATGCCGTTTAAAAGAAATTTTTAAATGTGAACTTTAAAAGTAAAAAGGGAAATTAAGACAAAATTTTTCCACCCCAAATCTAGGTCATAATTTAACCTGAGTGAAAGCTAAGAGCTATTTCTGTGCTGTTTAAAGAGTTCTTTTTTTTTTTTTAAAGCAAATTCTTGAGCCTTCCCTTGCCTCCTAACGATGAAGAGGTCAAACCTCTCCAAGGTCCCCTTCCCAACCTTCCTTTCTGTAGTATAGTGGGGCCTGCATCACTAAAATGACTCTAAAAATATTGCAGATTGTAGAGGACTTTGAAATATTTAACATAAAAAATAAATTTGGTGCCTTAATAGAAAATGGACAAATCTGGAAAGAATTATTAGTGTGTTTTTTTTTTTTTTTTTTTTTACAGTTGATGAACAAATGTAGTTATGGAATAAATAAGGCACCTGATGGTAACCTGGGCTTAAATTCAATGTTTTGACTTCCCACAAATCCTAGGAGCATTATCTAAAATGAGAATCCACTCCATCCTGACTTCTCAGGAGAACGTCTCTGGGCAAAAAGAAGTGGACCCACATCAAGGATTGTAGGCATTACATTTGAGGAGCTGAAGAGCCCCCAGTGGTTCTAGCAGCAAGGATGTAAGGGAAGGAAAGGGGAAAGGGGATATGATAAAGTATTTCACAGAGAACTGTAAAGTTGAATGATAGAAAAACTATATATAAAGAACAAAGAATGAGTAGGAAAAATTTAGCTGTGATGAAAAACAGAATTCACGAATACATTTTTTTTTCTGCTGTGTTGCTAAATAATATGTTGTTTCTGTTAGAATACTACATAGTCTAACCCATGTATTGGTCAAATGTTGAGCAAAAGTTTTCATTAGTTTTAAAGTAATTTTAGCCTTAACACTTTAGTCTTAACATTCTTATTTTATGATTCTTGGTGTATAAAATATTAATTAATGCTAGAATAGAAGAGGCCAGATACAGATGCAGACTAGACACCTTTCCATAATTGAACTGGAGCAATTCCTTTCCAAACTAATTTCTTTTAGGTTATTGGGAAGATTCTAGATAATAATGATCAGAAATATAATCTCTGCGCAATGCTAAATTTCTTCTGCAGGTTGCCAGTTCTTGATCTTCATACTCATTTGCTGAGAGAGCCTTAAAGTGTTTCTCCTTTGAGCCATTTGCTAATGAGCTATTCTCAGAAAGCAGGAAAAAGAGGGGTTTTTTTAGAAGTTAAGAAACAGAATTAGGGCCTAAGACTGAGTGTCAGGTTCTAGAAGAGGAAAGAAACTTTTACCAGAAAAGATGCTCTAGTTTAGAATGAAATCGTATCTTTTAATTGTCCGGGAGAAACAGTATGATTTGCTGCAGAGAATCCTGTATCAGAAGGGGTGATAACTTCTTTTAACACACGGTCATGGACTTGCTGATTGATTGGCCTAGGGTAAATGGCTGAACTCCTTAATCTATATTCTCTTGTATAAAAAGAAGATAAGATTTCATTTATATTCAACAGTGATGTACAATGGCTTCTTTCTTAAAAATCAGAACATCATCCTTTGTAACACATTTTAATTGCAATTAAACATAGAGTTTTACTCATTGTAAATTATCTTGTAATTATTATAAACTCAGTAGGTTAAAATGAGATACAGTTTATCAGTTTAATTATTTGATAAAATATGTTGGGTATTTCTTAGTGCCTGAGACATAGGACAGATTCAGGAAACCTCAGTTTTCTTTCTTCTTCCCCATTTTTTCAAAGAACAAGCACTCTGACAAAAAAAAAAGAACACAAGGTGTGTGTTCTTACAGAACTAGCTACATAAAGTTAACGGCTGTACTTTTATTCTTATTTTGACAGAAATTCACAAGCAGTGTTAAATCTCATCCATGTATATATTTTACTCCATGCACTACTCTACATTGAGAAAATAATTTTTGAGACCCCCACTGTTGCATTCTCATAGACATGGAAGTGAAACTAATAACCAAATAAATTACATTGGAAAACAATTTCTATGTTGCTATTGAATTGGAAATAGCATCCAACATATGTCTGCTTTTCTAACCTCTAAGGATTAATTGGTTTTATGAATTATATTTCTATTATTTACATTATATTTTCATTAGGAAATATGGTGATATGTTTATTTATTGAGATCACCACCAGGAAATGGCATTTTCCTTATTTCTAAACAATGTAGAAATTGAAAGGGGAAAATTAAGTTACTTGAAGAAGGGTGCTGAGTATTCATGCCAGAATCAGGATTAGAAATCAGGGTGTTTTTGGTGTTGTTAATAGTAACGATACCAACAATAATTTATTGCATGCCAAGGTTTCTAGGCAGACTTGCCTGCCAGAGTTGCTGCGTTTTGTTTGCAAACTAAGATTTTACATTTACATTCATTTCAAGAGATTTATCCACATGGCTTCTAAAACTTAAGATAACAGAGCTGTAAAACTTTTGCAAGCAAATTTTCCAATTTCAAAACCATGCATATGTAATCCTTTCATATTCTGACAGTTTCCTTTTTAATAAAATAACTCTGGAAGAAATACCCCCCTCATCTTCATTAAAAAACCCTTTTAGACAAACTGCCTGATCTTTGCATGTCCTTTGTCCAACAGGCATTTTCAACATGATATTTTAAAATATGGCCGTGTTTTATTTAACAAAGGTCATGCTCATTTTGAGTTTCTAAACTGACAGTGCACACTCTGCCCTTCTTTACTGGAAATGAAAGTCCACCGACCAGGCCCTTCACAAAGATCTCAGCAAAAGCGCCAAACAGAACTGGAGTGTGGGGGGAAGCGGACAGAGAGCTGCACGGATTCTGAGTACTTCATCACAATTCATTCTTTCCTCACCTTGTGTTTCCTTCCTATAATTCCAAGTAGCAAAAGCAAATACTGTAGATTTTCTGGTTTTAGCCTCCTCAAAATCTTTGTGGAAAAAAATACGTTTAAGTAGCAAGACTGAATGCATTTAGAATATAAACAGAGTCAAATCTAAAGGAAAAAAAAGAAATTAGAAGGTAGAGTCAGAATATTGTCAGTTACTGCTCAGAACTTACATTCTGCGTTTTTCTAAGAACTGGTGAAGTATCAACCACTCTAATGTGATTATTTTCACCTCTTCTCTTTTCCGACTCCTTTTAGGCACCAAACGGTCTCCCAGCTGTAAGCAGTTTTGTGTCAGCATCCAGCATGGCTCCGTACCCTACCCCGGCCCCAGTGTCGCCCTACATGACCTACAGCGCTGCTCCTTCTGGTTATGTTGCTGGACACGGGTGGCAGCATGCCAGTGGCACCCCACTTTCCCCCCACAATTGTGACATTCCCGCGTCGCTGGCGTTCAAGGGAATGCAGGCAGCCCGAGAAGGTAGCCACTCTGTCACAGCTTCCGCGCTCTGATGGGAGATTCTGTCTGCAGCAGCTTCACCGTCTGCAGCAGCTTCACCCGAGGAGTCTCCCTCTCGGCACACCCTCCCCCTCTTCCCTGGTCTCGGATCCCACCCCTCTGCCCTCCAACCCTTTTGCCGGAAAGCTGGCTTTATGGACTCACCTCCTTTGTGCTGATGACACTTAAATATTTCTCTCCATAACTTCTCTCTGACAGAAAACCTGACATGACTTTAGGATTTAAAAAACAAAAGCGATGTTAAGGATTGAATGAGACGTTTGTGTTGCCCACACACTGTTTTTAACATAGTGAAGAAACCTGCACCCCTCAAAGGGCTTAAGGAACTTTTAAAACTAGTCTTTGGTAAAACCACATGTGTATATTTATTCTAAATCAACCTGAACTTCTGAGATGTGCAATTGTTGAGATTCTGCAAAATCAATAAAAGAAAATACATATAGAAAAAGTTATGCTACACCCTCTAATCAAATAAGGTAATAAAATAAGCCTTAATTCATCATTAGGAAACCAATCAATAATTGACTTGAGTGATCCTTTATTTTTAACAGATGACCTATTTTGTTGGAAAATATATGTATAACTTAAGCAATATCTGAATTTAGCTCCTCCTGGTGTTTTGACTTGGTTCCAAATACAATAATGTTTATAGTTTCTATTAGTTTGTAAATACGGACTCTGGATGGTGCATTTGTGTTTTCATTCCATGGGATAACCCCCTCCCCACTCCCCCCCCCCACCTCTCTTTTTTTTTTCTCTTTCTTTTTGCAAAGGTGACTTTCCGGCAATGTCTTTGTCTCTGTTTGGTGGTGGGCTGCTCAGGCTCCTGGGCCTGGACTTGCCCCAGATTGTGTGTGTGCAGTGAAGGCTTCGACATCTCATGAAGGACATTTTCTTTCTCCAACAGAGGACTCAAAAACACAGATAAAACAAGCCAGTCTCCCATTTTGTATCCCAATCAACACACATGCCAAGCATATAAAGACAAGAGGGTGGAAATACCTGAACGAGGCTCTAAAGGAAGTCACATAGAAACTTAAGTTTAATGTGAAATGCTTTGCAAAGACACTTAAAATGAACTTTATGTTAAAAAACCACTGTGAAACTAAATTGTACTGTTATTGTTGGCTTACCTGTGTGTTCAGCAATCTCAGCCCAAAATTACATTGTAATTTAAAGAAAATGGAAAATTCCGCTCTAATGAATGTAAAAATGGCTTGCTGTGAAGTTTACATTGTTGTACAGAAGCATGTGTCTCGTGTAGGTAAACTGGTGATGGTATTAGAAATACAAATGCTATTTAATTTTTAAAAATTCCTTTTATTCATTTCTGGAGCTACAGGACATGGTTTAACTAATGGGTCTTTTGAAACCAATTTTCTTTTCACTTTAATGTTAATAATAGAACTGAGGGGGTATATGTGTGTGTGTGTGTGTTTGTGAGAGAGAGAGCGTGTGATTATGTTTCATATTTTAAAACAACTGATTTTCTTGGGAAAAAATCTACAGTTTTAATCTCTTCTGTTTAGAAAGTTCTTCCTGCTTGGCAATATAGGCTTGAAAATACGTTTTTAAAACGTTGGTACAATTCATCTATTGGAAAATTAATATATTGTGGGGCTTTTTTTTTGGTGTTGATTCTGTGCAATAACTAACAGGGCCCATCACTAGATATGGATGTTAGGTGGTTTTGATTTCTTCCTGTCTGGGCTGTGCACAGCCCACGGGGCAATCCACTTCTGTCACATCGGTTTCATGGCCTCATTTAAAACTCAGATGGCTAGATTAGCCAGGTTTTCAAATCACTATGATATAAACAGTAAGCAGATTTCTGACACACAAGTTATGTTCGAGGAATTGCTTTTTTCAAGCAGCAGATATCTCGTAGAGAGCTTTGAACTGCATTTATTTCTAAAGCAACTGAAATTCAGTGCTACAAACAGAGGATTATAACTTCAGGAGAAGAATAAGCAGAAGGAGCAGATGAACTCTCAGGGCCATAGTCTTCCTTTGATCTTGTAAAACTCCTATTGACATCTGGAGTTCCCAGTCTGGTGAGAAAATAGAACTATAAACCAAATGGAACAAAATACCAGTCCGATATTTGGTGGAAACTTTAAAACCATACGGTACAAGGACTCTCCTGCCATGCAGAAAAACTGACACAAGGTACAGAATTATTTCTGATCAGATGTTTTTAGGAGTCTATTAGGAGTCTTTAAAAACTATCAATAATTTGTATGGAAATACAACTAAATGTTATTTTCCTTATCTAAATTAAGAAGTCTCTTGTTAATATGCTATTTATAATTTTTTCCTGATTCTTGTATCTTTAAAAATCTAATATTAATACTATAAAAGTTTTCCTTTCTTTTCTCCCCTGGAGACCTTTTCTTAGCAATGGTGAATTCACATGGAGTAAATTTTGAAAGATAAGAGAAAGCCCAAATACATTTGCTATTCAAAGCACACTATGATTTAAAACTACTTTTAAAAATGAGAGAAGGAAAGTGGGAGGGGAGATGAGGTGGTTTGATTTTTTTAAAACATTATTATTATTGGTTAACATTGACTTTTTTCCTCTGTTTCTTAGGGGGTAAAAGTGTTGTTTTTAACCTGGCAAATGCACTCTTCAGAGATCCTTTTCCATCTCATCCACATGGAGAGGTTAAAGGTTCAATTTCATGGCCTCTGGAGGCAGTGCTCTCTCTCAAAGGGTGCAGAGTGTTACCTGCAAGGATAGAATGCAGTTGGACAACAGACACATTCTTACTTCTCTTGTTTTGTCCTACTTTTAATGACCCTCTTATTCGGTATTGGGCTGAAATATAAATTAAAGAACACGTTGGAAAGGATGTACAAGTGAAGGCTGTGTATGTATATACAGTATGTCAAAAGCCTTTATTTTTATACTTCAAATGCTCTAAATTAATAAAAAGTAATAACTACCATGTTATCTTTCATTTTTTATTTTCAAAATGTTTTAGTGATACAGCTTCATGGTAGACAGATCTTCTGGTTATAGTTAAGAACAGGTGTCATCCTAGAACAGATATCTTTGTTGACTCGAGCTACTGAAGGAGCATCACTTCAGGATGCAGATATAAAATTAAGCTTCGTTACATCAACGTCAAGGAAATATTTTTTTTGAGTGCATGTTAGTACAGGCATTTTTGGAAATGCTAAGAATGTACTTCTCTTTTGAAACATTTTCTCCTTCATAATACATATTTTAACATTGAAGTTGGTAGACTTCACATCTGAAACCATCACTTAAAACTAGTAAGCTAGAAATGTAGTTTTATCCTAAACATCCTTTTAAAAAAATGGCATAGATAAGAATTCTGAGAAAAGGTATCTGATGCAAACACAGCACACACAGGCCTAAGGAGCAGTTCAAATTTTGATTTAACAAAAATTTACTTCAGCATTAAAACTTGTTTTCAAAGGGAACTATGTGAAGAAAAGTAGTTTTAATATAATTTCATGTTTTATCTTTGTCACAAAAGACTTCAAATATCATAATCTAAAAATATGACCTGCTTTAACCAACAGTGCAAAATATAAAGTAGGTTTAGGAAAATACAGATGAGATGTATATTATTACCAAAGGAAACCAACAATTCACATTTTTACATGAAATTTTAAAAAGACCATTTTAGTACCCTTCAGAAACATTTTCCTTGTATATGATTAAATAATATTTATGGAAGAATTTAGTTCCTTATAAAACTTTAAATTTTGGCATATTTTTTTCACTTATAAGCACTTCTTTACCTTTCAGGAAAAAAATAATCATCAGTACAATGAATTTTTATTGTAAAGCCACATAAGAGGAACATCAGTCATAAAATTTGTATTGTTTTTTTATAGAATATATCTAATTTCTATGCTACTTTTCTATATTCAGTTTATATATTTCATTGCTTCACAGTATTAATTTCCTCCTTATAGTTTTAAGGATATGATTAAAACGACAGTTTCAAATTGGAGATAATTTTTGAAGTATCAAAATAGGTTTTGTTCTTGAACACTGTTTTACCCTTTACAACTCTAAGTGTATAATTATAATTTATCATTGTATTGGCTTAACTGATAGATAGTCTTGCCTCCTGATGGTGCTAATGAAAATCCATTTTCACAAGGGGGAAAAATACACCGTAGGCAATCACCAGTTCTCCTGAAGCCATGAATAGGTGTATTCATAAACCAGCAGCATCACTGCACCACCTAGAAAAGAAAAGAGCAATTTTTAATCCTGTGAGATTGTGTTGTCTTTCCCACTGGGTTTCTGAATCCCCTGGAGTCTTATGCAGCCTATCAGGCAGAAGCCATTCAGAATCATCTGTTCTCAAGCTCCAATGCATAGACAGAAAACTACTGTGGAAAATTCTTAGAGCAAAATCAAGACCATTTTGAGCCTCCAAATACATTTTTTCCCCATGAGTTTCTGTAACCTTCATCATTTCTCATCAGATTCTTTTTCAGGCACTTTTAATTTTTAAAAGTAAATAAATACACATTTAGTCATGTAAGGGCATGTGACTTTCCCGTGAACAGAAACCTTCAGATTTGTCATATGCAGGCAAAGGATTTATCTTTTCCAGTTTATAATGAGCATTGTTGTAGCTGCATTCAACAGGGACGTAGAATTCTAAGATGGTGCTTGATAGATGGGCCTGGTTTTCTCTTACAGCTTTCAACTGGATTGTAATGTGAAAAATAGCTTCTCAGTCCTTCTAAAATCTGTATTTCAAAACTTAACCAGCTTTCAACCTCCTTTTGTTGCCTTCATTCCTTTCATCTGCCTCAAATAGATATGGATTGCACTTACAAATCTGGTAGTTGTATTAGGTGTCATAAGACCATCATTTATCTGGGAAGAGAAGAGTTATATAATTGGCTGCAAAAAGGCTTGCTATATAATATGTCAACAGGAATACGATATAGGAAGACAAACACTGAGGCTGCTGAATACCTAGACATCAGAAGCACGTGTATGTGAATGATTTTGTGTTCTCTCTGATGCGGTAAACAGCACACATCCTGTGCCCTTTAAAATGTTCTCTGTCCTTTCGTGTCTATGTGAACAGTATTACAAAATCAAAATGTGGACAAATATCCAGAGCACATCTTAGAGAAGACTTGGCTATGTGAACAGAAGACTGACTTTTGACAGAAAGAAATAGAACTTGATTTTCATCTTATTTTGTACACACTGTCATATGCTTTTTTTTTTTTTTTAATCTACAGGCTGCACATGTTTGTGTAACCTTATGCCAAAGATAATTATCTGCCTGTAATTTTCATTTTTAACCCATGAAGATACTCTATTAGCCCCATCTTGGCTGCTGTAGCCCTCCTGGAGCTCGGGCAAACAAAAAGGGATGCACTACAGAGGTTTGTCATACATATGTAATTGCTGTATTTCCTCTTATTAACCATTTGCAGTGTAAGACAAGAACACACAGAATTGAGTACGTTTTCAGCCTAGTGATATTTGGAGTCTGAACCACAGACTTTAAAATTCTTCTTTCCTGTGAGATCCTGATCATTAGCCACAGAGAGCTGCTAACACTGTTACAAAACTAAGGTGTTTTACCCTTTACAATTGTATATAAGTTGGGATGTTTCTCCAGAATGAAGGATGAGAATTCCAGGTTCATCCAGCTTTTCTTTTTTACTCTCTCTCTCAAAAACAACACAAAACTCTTATCTTTAAGTCTTACCTTCCTCTCTACAACTTTCTTTCCTTTGAGGTTGGTAGGACTTGCATGTTTGGGATGACAGTGCAGACCAGTTATTCACAATTTTGTTTAGCCTGGACAGTATGTTCACAACAACCCTTTTCATTGGATTTAACACCACAGCAACTCAGGACACCTCATGCAAAAACATTTAAAAAGCCAACCAAACATTTGTAAGCCTCTAACAAAACTTGGGGTCAGATTATTTAAGAGTTTTGGATTGAGGTTCCAGTCAATTACCATTTTAGCTAAACTCTCCCTGATCACTCTCCCTTTTCAGGCCCATGGCCTCCTGAGAATGCTGGAGGAGGGTCAGTCCTATGATTTTCTCTAATACTAGGTCTACTAGCAGGTTTTTACTGTGTGGTGAAGGAAAAACACCACATTCTTGCAGAGAGAGTTCCACAAAATCACCAATATTCTTTATGACTGAGTTCATTTTTATACATGGACCAGTAAGAGGTCTGAATCTCAAATGTGAAGCAAAAATCCATGCTTAAATGCCTAGGAAGTCTGGGATAGATGGACTGGGAATTGTAAAAGTGTTTCCTAAATATATGAAAGTATGAACTGTTCAACAGCTTCAATTTACAGACTGCTGTTCTATATCTCAGGTTGGCAGAAAGGCTGAGATTTAAATGTAAATATGCACGTGTGTGAGTGTGGCAGGGAAGGGACACATGGAGTGTTCAAAGGGA